GTATGGGCCTACACTTGCAATAGAAACAACCTAAGTTGAAGTTTGCCACTAGCTTAACAAATTCTTTAGGGTAAGGCCTATGAGTCCTTAAAAGTTTAAAGGCAAGTGTTAATAGTGGTTAGTCATTTATATATCAGACTCAATTACACTTCTCCATCAATGTGGGATTCAAGGTGTTACATCAACCTTTCAAATTCGTCAATAAAAGAAACATAATACACAAACATCTATTCTCTAACCCAAATCTAAAGATGTTGGCCACCATCCCTTCTTCCTCACAGTTGTGGTCAATGCCATCCTTTACATTATCTTTTTCCTCATCTTGTCCCTTCTTCTTTCTCTTTCACTTTTTATATTAGGCCCCAATCCTCCTACTTCCATTGAACCAGATCTAGGAGAATGAGAACCAACATTGCGTTCTCCTAGAGAAACCCAAATTTGGTTCTCACCAACCAACCAAAAAAGAGAGAAAAATGAAAAGAGTGAAGGTAGAGGAAGAGAGGAAGGGAAGGAGGGACAAAGAGCTAGGGAAGCAGAAGAAGAACCGAAAGAATTGATGTTTCCATCTTTTTGTTTTTGTTTTTTTTTTTTTTTGTCTAATATTTTTTAGCCATCCATTTATTTATTTTTTTATTACCCAATCAAATAAAAATTGCATTGAAAATGGAGTGCAAGTAATACTCTAAATAAAAGTAACAACAATTGTGCTAAAAACCTTCCTATGGCAAAAAAAAAAAACAAAGCCTTTCTCTGGAACAATTACACCCAAAAAAAAAACTCATTTGTTCAACAACCCATGACACTTCAAATTCATTTTAAACTTTTTGATAGCTACAACATAATCCACTAGTTTAGAAATCCCAATCTTGAAATGACAACACACACTCGGCCTCTTCATTTCCAATCCAAAGAAATGATTTAACTTGAATTGATTACAAAAACTATATCCCTCAGAGGAGATCCTTCCCAACCTTTGCATTTCTTTAATATCAAATGTATCACATAACCACCAAAAATGTATCACATAACCACCAAAAATATAGAACTCCCAAAAACCTTTCTGACACACCCTTTAAAGATCTCATCCAATAAAGAAATCAACCACTCCCTCAACCGTATTTGGGGCAAAAACCAAAATTTAGCTCCTTACCTTACAAAGTTGGTAGGTTTTAGCCTCCCATTTATAATATGACAATTTTAGCCTTTTATCTTACAAAGTTGGTAAGTTTTAGCCCTTCACCTTACAAAATTAGTAGGTTTTAACCCCTTATCTTATATTATAATATTTTTAGCCCCTCATTGACACGAATTAAAGAAAATAGCCCTCACCTAACATCAGCTTATAACATTCTATTAGTTTTATTAGTTGATTGTTAACATCCGTTAGCATTCCGTTATAAAAAACATGAAATTTAAATTCAATTTTATTTGTTAATTTCATTAACGGAATACTAACGGATGTTAATAGTCAACTAACAGAACTGACAGTCAACTAACAGAACTGACACTCAATTAATAGAATTGACAGTCAGCTAATCGAATTAATAGAACATTATAATCTGATGTTAAATAGAGACTATTGTCTTCAATTCGTATAGATAAGGGACTAAAAGTGTCATAATATAATTTGAGGGGCTAAAACCTACCAACTTTGTAAGGTGAGGGGTTAAAACCTATCAACTTTGTAAGATAAAGGGCTAAAAGTATCATATTATAAAGTTAAGGGCTAAAAGTATCATATTATAAAGTTAAGGACTAAAAGTTGGTTTTAACCCGTATTTGGTAGCACACCTCATGACAAAAACTTTCATCCAAAGCCATGCCAGATATAAAAAATACGTTTTTAAAAAATTTTTCGTTTTTATATTAGGTTTAGAGCATGTTTAGGTTAACTTATAAAAACTTTTACTTTTTTTGTAATGTTCATAAGTGATAAGTTTAAATTTTTATTGGAGAGAAAATTTAAAAGTTACTTTTAGAGTAGGAAAAAGTGAGTAAAAATGAAGTTTATGAAGAACTTGGATCTGAAGCTTTTAAGTTTTTACTGTTTGAAATCTTTTTAAGGTTAAAAAAAGTTTTAAAATGTAAGTTTTTAAGAGATAAATTTAAATTTATGAAACATGAATAGTATCAAAAAGCTGAAACACTTGGAAGCTGAACCAAACATGTTCTTAGAGTTTAAGTCTTAGAGTCACAAGAAATTAATTTTCTTAAATACACCAAACTAATATGAAAGTAAGTCTTTAAAATTATTAGGAGAAAAAGTAGTTTCAAAATATACAAAAACTAACTTAAAAATATCTATATATAGAGAGAGAAATACTTGTTAGCCAAACCTTTAAAAAAATTAGTAAAAAAATATCTTAAAACTACATTATATTTTAAAATTATATTGTTTCAATAAATTTTAATTAAAATATATTAAAATAACTTATTTTCAAATCATGAATGAGTTTATTTTAGTTTTTTTTCTTTTGATATTTTAATGAAATGATGTAATTTATTATATTTTTTAAATAAAAAATATAATTATGTTTAATAAATATAATAAAAAAATAAATCTTAATTATTAAAAATTAAAAATTAAATAATCAAAAAAATTTATATAATTATAGCACTATTTACACTATAAACTGTAATTTTTTAAGTGCTGTCACGTGTTAATAGATAAGGTGAGATCACATATTGTAATTTTTTAAGTGCTGTCACGTGTTAATAGATAAGGTGAGATCACATAAGATTTATTGTTGATATTCAAATTTGAAAAAATTGATTATGGGGAACGGTGGAAATTATATGATAGGTTGCAGTTTAAATTAAAAAGAAGCAAAAATTCTTATAATTTAGAAAGTGCAATTGAGAGGTTACGGTAGCAACAGAATTGTACATGTGACAAGATCTAATGCAACCTTAATCTGGTCTTGCTGATGTACCCATTACTTTTTCCAAGAAATTATCCATGATCTGTAATATCCAACGGGTGAAATGAAAGGACAATTCGCAAGAAGTATATAAAAAAAACAAGTTTCAGATTATTCAAGAACACGACAGCAGCCTATACAAAATTCATCAAATTTTCAATTCTCTAGTTTCGTAATAATTGTTCATTTTAACTTGCAGATTTTCAATTTTAATGCTGATTCTAATAGATTTAAGTTGTTTTCAGTATTCAAGTAGCTACATTAATTTGTGTAATCGCTTCTTTGATTTCTTTTCGTGCAATTAACATCAAGTTTACTCTAATTTACATTTCATTTAGTTCATTTATGATCTATTAACTTTAAATTCACATCATTGGTGAAATCCTTTGGATTATTTAAGGCAAATAAGCAATCTATTATGAAGGAAAGCATCCCTCACTTTTGTAAATCGTTTGAAAGTACAAAACTCAATCTTACACCAACATTCTTTCAATCATCCTAAAGGAGATTAACCGTGTACAAGAAGAGGATCATTTGAAAAATCTTTTTTTTTTCTTTTTTTTCGTTTTTTTACTTTTGAGAAAAATAAGTGGTACATTCATATTTAGATTTACCATATGCTTAGCGACTTGAGGATTTTTGAAAAAATAACTACATAAAACTTATGTCTAAATAAATTTTAACTTATATATATGACTGCAATTATTGAGCCAAACATTATAAGAGATGAGTTTATTATTTATTTTTTTGATACATTTCCATCATTTTCGAAACTGTACCAAAAAAAAAAAAGAAAAAAAAAAAGAAGAAAACTAACCACAGATAACAAAGTGAAAGAACGATGTTATCATTCACATACCGCACACAACCCAAATTACTTTAACAATGTGTTTCCCTGACGGAAATAAAAAGAAAGGATATAAATGGAAAGGAGAGGATGTTTCCGAAGGTGATATCTTTTCATGGTTGAATCTTTAAAGCTTAATAATTAAAAGACACGTAAAACCAGTGAAGTTAATATCGTACTGATCGGTTGGTACGGTTTTTACGGTTGGTACAATCGGTATGTATTGATTTTGGTATTTGACTGAAACGATATAACATCAATTTTCATTTCGATCAAATTTAAGGTATTTCGGTCAAAATCCGGTGTATCGATTGAAGTTTCGGTGTATTGACTGGTTCATCGAAATTTTGACTGGTACACATTACAAATTAAAAAAAAAAAAAAAAGGATTCCCTAGCCCAAAACGACGTAGTTTTGGGCTATGGGCTTTTCATAACCTGCAACTGCAATAAACAGAAGTCCGTACAAATCAATTCAAATTTAAAAAGATAAATTTCATTTTTGAAATGTCATATATAATTTTTATTTTTTTATTTTTTTATGTACTTTTTTAGTTCATTTTTTATTTTTTTTGTCTTTTTATCAATTATTTTGTTAAATTTATCTAAATATACACATTTTTA